GCGTGAGTCCCCTGAAGGACCTGCCTGATTTATAACAGGTGGCCATTTTAACAAGACTGCTGAGTCAAATGTCTTTAGTTTTTGACAAATTTAGATGGAGGAAAGACTCATCACACCAAGCCACAAAGTCATCCACCACCGCCCGTGATCCTCTTCCTCCCCTTCAAGAAGGCTGACAGTAACAGAGTCAGCGTGTATCTATTCTTATGGTTGCTGTGACACTTGTAAGAGTTGTAAAAATCCAGTCCATTAGTCAAGTCAACAAGTCCATTATCCAACCAATCAGGTGAGGATCAAGTTTGAAGTGGCAAATGAGCCTCTCTGTGAGCAGGAGTGACTGGATGGTATTAAATGCTGAAGATAAATCAATAAATAAAAGTCTGACATGAGTCTTGTGGGCCTCCAAATGCTGATACAGAAAGTGTAAGAGTGTGATGACAGTATCCTCCACACCTCTACCAGGTGTGTGTGCAAACTGTAACAGATCCAGTCATTCCACTACCTGCAATAAAACCTCTTACCCCCCTATACTCAGTAGCTGGCTGCGGACGTTGTCAAGTCCTGCACTCTTGGTGTCAGTATGTCTGAAGGTGTTTGCTGCTCTCTCCACATCAGTATCGAACGCTGGAGAAACTATGGTCTTTACGCTTATCTCATTTATCTGTACAGTCAAATCATGATTATCACATCTTAGATAAAAACCGTTAAGTTCATTAGACATGCGTTTATCTGAATGAAAACCATCCGAAGCGACCTCTCTGTTGCCCTCATTCTGTGATACTATCATAGTTCTCATTCTGTTCCAGGCTGAGCTCGCCCTCAGTCTTGTACCTTAGTTTAGCCTCCTTTATTTCAGCCCTCAAGTCACACAATACTTTTTTTTCAATGACAGTTTTGAGGTACTTGTACTTTAATAATTCGATGTTATGCTGCTTTGTAGTTCTGTGCTACATTTCACTGGTAAATATTTTACTTTTTAAAAAGGACTGTGTCGAGCAGGATAGAGCCCCTGCCATGTTTTAATTATATTTCCCAAAGTAATTGTGTTTACATTCTTTCTTTCGCATTGCGATATAGAGCGACAATGTGAAGGTTTCCCATGTCTCGCTAATGAAAAGGAAGACTACGGAGTGCAATTATTAACTGCAAAGTAATGATGTTTACATTCTGTGATTCGTGGCGTGATGCAGAGCGAGGATCATGGCGAGCAGAGGGTTTGTCTGTGTTTACTGTCTGGTGTGACTGAGAATGCTCAAATTACTGAGCCATTCTTCAACTTCCTTGATGTTGTCTTCACTATCAACAACATGGAAACTTGTTTCAAGCGGACCAGGCTCCAGCTGGCATCTAAACAGCCAAGGACGTGCACATCAGCTCTGGTAGCTATAATTGCTAATTGCGTGGGCTCTGTTGTCATCCAGCTTTATTCCATTTATAGCTACTATACTAACTTGCTCGCTACTATTGTAGCTGCTTTGCAGATTAAGATTCAACAACATATGATCATCTTACATAATTGCTTAATTCTTATAGATTCAATATATACTAGACATAAACACCCTGAAGGATGCAGCTTGTTAGCTTAGCTTAGCACAAAGACCGGAAGCAAGCCTGGATCAGTATGTTGTCAGGAAAAAGTGCACAGTAAGAGCTTGGTCTTGGTACCATCAAGACCTTGTTTTTCGTACTTTCTCTGTTCTTTTTATAACTTCTTTCCCTCCCTTACTTTCTCCTGTCCTCTATCGTAACAACACCCTTTTCAAAGCTAACTGAAGATGGAGGGGAAATTATTCTCCCCTTTCCCAGAAAATTGTATGTCTTTCTCCTGGGGGAAAGGTTCCCCGTCATTACCTTGAGAGCGGAAAGTTCACTCAGGGAAGATGTCTCTGTGTTATTTATTCGGTCCACTCGCACAAACACACACTGGCATTTCCTCAAACACACACATGACGCAAAAAAACACACACACGAGAAATCAAAGACACATTAATGCTTATGGACACACCGCAGAGAATGTCTGTCTGTTTTCTGGCTTGAAAAATACCTCTGGGCTATGTGATGGAGGACCTGTGAGGAGGATCCAAGAGCTTAACATAACACAGAAGAACCAAGCCACCTGGCTTTAATGCTGCGAGCGTTTTTCATGAGCTCCGTGGACAACACATGCTGGTAAATGGACTTCCTGTTCCCAGGAAAACACCCTGTATCAGTCGACAGAGGAAATACTCTATATTCTTAAGAACTCAGGTGCAAACAAGCAACACACGCTCTGCTTGTTGTCACTGAAATCAATTTTCACCATTGATTTTAGCTTATAAAGTTACCTAATTAGAAGCAAATGACACCACTGAACCAATAGACTGAGATGTTGACATTGCATGTGTAATCCTAAGTGATGTGTCATTTTAACTTGAAATCCTTCACCAATCATTTAGCCCCAGGGGTGAGAGTCTAACTAACATGCAGATAGCTGTTACTTATTAAAATGGAAGCATTAATGGAAAGGACAGGTCTTTCTAATGCTAATAGGAACATAGGAAACCCTACTGATTCCTCTCACTAAATCATCTATCAATCAATCAAGCAGCTTCAGTCATGAAAAGAAGTCACAAGAAAGAACAGCAGTTATTGCAATCAATCACGATGTATGTCCTGAACTGAATGTCACAGTGCCGTGCGGGTTGAGGACGGAGGTGAAAAATCTTCTCTCCTGCTCTTCCTCGCTTACAGAACTGCTAAGAAACTGACACTTCCCCTCCTGTCACCACAGGTGAAATCGAATCCAATTACGGCAATAAGTACCTGCTTAAGTAGCCTGCTCCTCAAGCTCGTTGAATTCATCCATCATGTGGGGGGGGGGGATAAAGGGTTAAGCCCTCCCACACTAAACCTAAACGCCATGGACCCTACGCTCTCATCGCTGACTCAGACAGCTGAAATGAGAGAATATATATCGCCTTTAAGGATGACCACAGCGAATCAATTCCAGCAGTTTGACTGAAAGAGGAATGCTTTAGAAACAGGACATTATCTGAGGAGTGCCCGTAAAAGAGTTTTCAAGTCCAGAGAGTCATTTGTGAAGATGAGGTTTATGCTACATTAGCGTGTTGTTACGCTACGTGTAATAATACGGCTGAATACTGGGCCTCCATTTGAAATGACAGTCTCGCTTGACTCAGGATGTGGAGCAGGTGTTTCAAAGATTGGTTTTCTTATATAATATGAGTCACGCAAGTGCAATTAATCACCTCTACTGTCACATCATCGCCTCAAAATTATATCAAAACCTTCATTAAATAAAATCTGGTTAAAAGCAGAACTGTGTTTCAGCTAAAAACTCACCATAAACTGACACAAGCACAACGGATGACTGGCATGGATGAAGTAATAGCAAGGCAGAAGTTTTCCTCATCCTCACAGGCTCTCACTCATACTGCTCCCTCACCTTATACAGATTTGATCACTGCTCTTTCATCCATGATCGGAGATCAAGTGAGTACTACACTTGCTTTATATGTGACAAGCAGAACTGTGGCTAATTTTTGTGTAATTCTGTGTGTAATTGTGTCATTTGCTCTCACTTCAACTGCCATCCTCACGGGGGACGGAGGCTTTGTTGCATTTAAAGTGATACTGAATAGCTTTGCTCAAGATGCATGAAATGGCTAAATGTGAATGGAATAGAAGTGAAGCTGCATCTTGGCCAGTGGCCAGAACTGGTTAAATACGTCTGGAGCTTTGCGATTACCGTGAATGTTTTATTGAAATACAGTATGTAGCCAGTCTGATTGAGTTTGAAATTGCTGACTTTGTGCTACATTTTCTGCAGGAAAGCAACACAGATCCTCAACATTTGGCTTGACCAGTGAAATGACATTAAATGGCATGCATTTCTTGGAGGCACAGATGCAGAAAAAGTCTCTTTGCTTGACTTAAACTTCAATCAGTAGAACCACACACATTAGCAAATTGACAGAATTGGACAGCAACAAGTCCAGCAGTAAATCAGCCTTTTGTCAGATCACTTCTTTGCCGCTACTGCTTCCAGAGCCTCTGCATCACAGCATATGTCTGCCTGCACAGCATGTAGCAGCAGCATAGCACCCTACTGTATCCCGCAGTTATAATTCAGAGAAATTAAATCTTACCAGGCAGTTACACTATCAAGCAGTCTGACTGCACTGCTTTAATTTGCAAACAAAACACAAATGTTTTTTGGGTAAGCAAAAGTACGCACAATATCTCAAGCCTTACTGCTGTTCCGATGATTCGGAGCGCAGATTTTGTTTGAGCAGCAAAGAATGATCTTTAATTTGTTGATATCTTGTGCCGTCACTCGTTTCCTGAAAGAATAATGTGTGTTGATGTGCTTCCACGACAGAGTTCAGGGCAAACTGCTGCTTAACAACGTCAGAGGCCTATCATGTTACTGTGAAGGGTCGTGGAAATGATCAGTGTGTCAAGCAGTGAGGATAATTAGGATCAACAGGGGCAAACTGGGAGTTATTTAGTCTGGAACGTCAACACCAACAGCCATATAAGCTCTGTATTTGTTCTCAAAATGACATGCTTTTGAACGTGCAGCTGCTGCTCTCCGATTCTTAATGATTGCTCTGAGTTTGCAGCAAGTGTTTTGCATAATTTCAATCTTGATACAATGCCACCAAGCCTGGACAACAACAATGGGAACCTGAAGCCGAAAGGTCAGACAGATCAGGGACATTTGTGATATCAGTTCAAAACTGTTTTGAAAGCTGTTTAAATAAGAATTTGGAAAGGTACAATAAAAACGATGCTATTGCAGAAATCTGACACTGGACTTGGCAACCCTCTACATGTCACCATCCATCAAACTCTGGCTTGGATAAAGGCAGACTCATGCGATGTGAACACAACCTGATAAAACCTATTACAGCCCTCACACCTGCCAACACATGCAGTACAATAAGACACCACCAGGTGCCGTCCTCCTTTGACATGATTACACCGTCGTCACTTACCTTGGCGATTTGGACACACCAGTTGAGCAGCAGCTGCGATCCGATGTTGTCCTTGTGCTCGTGCACATAGTCGAGGAGGCAGCCGTGGGGCATGAGCTGCGTGACCAGCTGGATGGTGGGGCTCAGGCAGACGCCCAGCAGACGCACCAGGTGGGGGTGCTCCATGCTGGCCATGATCAGGGCCTCCTGGGTGAGAGGGGGGAGAAGGACAAAAGAGGGACTAAGGGGACTGTTGCAATACTCTCAAACTTCTGAAGCCAAGAGAAGAACGTCTTTCTCTGAGTTAGAAACTGCTCAGTGGCTCAAGAGCAGATTTTACTGACCATTAGGAAAATTATTCAAATGAAGGGACATTAATGCTTAAGGATGCATATGTTTGGGGTCATGTTTGCTCAGTTGACAGGTTTCTACGGCCTACTCACTGCGACGGTTGCCACGTATACAGTCCAACTTGGCTTTGGTCAGATTCACTGCTTTTGCTCAAATGTTCCTGCCTCCAAAAAGGAATGAGAAGCTGGCACTGGGCGGTAAACTAAAACTAAAAGGCTGTAAAAATCCCCAGTCATGCTCTGGTATTTTGGCATTTTGGCTTGTGACCCCTTACAATAAAGTAATGTCTGCTTGTGACCCCCTTCATCACACCAGTGTGGATATGAGTTTTGAGCACTAAAGCAAAAAAAAAAGATTTTCAGGACCTCTGAGGAGTCCATCTCTCAGGTTAGGAGCCACTGGTATAAAGGTATATTAGATTCTGTTTTTACAGTAGGATTCAGTGTCTGTCCATGCATCTATTATCCATGGATAACACTGCACTGTATTCCAAAGACTTCCAAGTGGAGGTGGAGTTAGATGCATAAATTAAGACTTGTGGGATGATGACTATATCTGCATGCACAGCATCTGTCCGCCGAGTATTCTCACTGCGAGAGAAAATCCTGCAGAAACCTTCTTCAAAGCTGCACAAAGCAGCCTTCTTCATCTATATTTTAACACATAGAGGTTCTTAAATGTTGCACCAACACAATCAAGAACTGTGAGTCATTCAGGCTTATAATTCCCGCCGTTGTCTAATACATAGTCGCTGTGCGTCTCGTTTCATGAGCTACTTCTCAGTTTTCTGTCTTGATTGATTTGGTGTGTAAATGCTGTCTCTGGCTTCCCCTCTCATCTCTCTCTGCAGCAGATGGACGTAGAGGTTCGAACAGTTGGGACTCAATGTTGGATAATTGTTATTGCGGAGCTGCAAGCAGAAGGATGTGTGGTGGTGATGAAGTGTTATGATGGCGAGGGCTGATTCTCGTGCATTACGGCAGAGCAGAAGCTGCACTCAGAGCCATTGCTTAAAAACACTCACTTCAGTCGTCGGTCTCATCTCCTATTGCCTCCTTCTCTCTCTCGCTCATTCGCACACTCTCACATGCGGACACACTCTCTTGGCAGCTCTCAAAAACCACTCACGCTCACACACTCAAGGACACACACACACACACACACACACACTCGCCGTCACTATCTCTGCGTACAGCAAATGGTCGAGGAGGTGTATATCCAGGCTTGGCCCCAGGGCAGCTGATAGATGGATGAGGTGCCTTTTTAAATTTAGATGCTAAAGAATGAGCTTAGAGGGAGAGTGGTGGTGGTGTGGGTGTGAGTAGATTAATTCTAAACAGGAGGGGGGCCATAGGCCATAGAGGGGCTTTTGGCACCATCAGTGGCCTGATTTAAACAGAGCCTCATGGCCCAAAGTAGTGCCACTACATCGCCACTTCATAAAACCACCTGCCTCCCCCTGCAACTGCTCCATGTTATACAACTCCAGCCACACCGAGTGCACCTCACACCTCGGGATCAAGAGAGGAAGAAAAAGGGAGCGAGGAAGGAGGACATCTGTGTGTGGAAACAGAAAGGAGGAGAGAGCCCTTTTATTCTCACTCTGTGATCCCAAAAGACCCGGGAGTCGTAAACTATGTCGGGCTAAATTCTTGCTCTTGCTTTCTACTCCCGGGGCAAGTGTTACAAGGACTTGGTGTGTGTGTGTGTGTGTGTGTGTGTGTGTGTGTGTGTGTGTGTGTGTGTGTGTGTGTGTGTGTGTGTGCATGACCGTGTGTGCACGAATGTGTGTGTGTGTTTTGGTTTCCCTCTCATCTCCCTGAGCGCTGACCTCGATTACTGCCGCCTGACCCTCCCTCCTCATCTAACTCACTCGCTCTCTTTCCCTCACACACACACACACACACACACGCACACACGCAGGAATATGCACCAGTTCTGCAGGGCTTTGCCAGTCTATCACCCGGTGTGTGTGTGTGCTCGTGCGTGTGTGTGCGTGCGTGTGTGTGTGTGTGTTTGTACCAAAACATATTAAATTAGTGTATTATTAGGCCTTTGCATTTCACACATTGCTAACTCACATATTTGCCAACACAAGCAAATCAGCCTGCATCCCTCACATGCGCGGCCACCACTACATAGGGAACCTTTTGTTGTCAAGTGAGCTCTGTTTGGTTATGTGTGTGTGTGTGTGTGTGTGTGTGTGTGTGTGTATGTGTGTGTGTGCATGTGGATTTTCGGAGTGTGTTTAGAGCTGGCACTCTAGTGGCTAGTATCCCAGTGGTGAGGCGTGAGCCTGCCTTTAGATTGCTGTTTAACAAGCCGGCAGACAGAGCATATTGGCTCTGGATGGACAGAGACCCCCGCTGGGAGAAACAGAGGGAGAGGAGAGGGAAGGGAGGAGATGGGGGAGGTAGAGGGAGGATGCAGGCACAGGAGAGGAAAGGAGAAATTGGGCAGAAAGGGAAAAAGAAGGTGGAATCACAGCCTCGTTGCCACACTTTTGCATTCATAAGAAGGAATTATTAAACCTAAACTATTAAATTTGTGAATAACTGGTGTCCAGTCAACAGTTTTTCAGATTTCTCTTTCATAATGGGGAAATATTTTTGGGCCAGATTAGACTTTTTGCTTCCAGTACAGCCACTGGCCATTGGAGCCTGCCTCCATGCATTGAATCCCACTTTCTTCATACATCCAAGAAACTGGTAATATAAACTCATGACTTCTTGCATGTTTTTCACAAAAAAACACATCCAGAATGAGGACAGGCTTTATTGTGAAAAACCACAGGAAGTTGATAATTCTAGCACAGTTAGCAAACGTAAAGATGACTCAATAAAGGTAAATTAATATTTGATTTGTTGGAATGTTTTGTTGGGAAGTTCGACATAAACTGTAAGACTGAATCTCTGACATATAAGGTTGTAACTAACAATGATTTTAATCATTAATTAATCAGATGATTATTTTTTCAGTTTATTCGTCTAGCAAATGTCAGAAAATACTGAAAAATACAAAGTCAAAAACTCTTCACTGGCGCTCCAGTTGGCTTGTTTTGTCCAACCAATATTCTAAAACCCAAGATAATCACAGTCTGAGCTGGAACCAGTGAATTCTGGGCACTTTTGCTTGTAAAATGACCCTAACAACTGTTCCATTAACAAAATAGTTGATTAACTTCCAGTCCTTCAACTAAAACTGTCCAAGCAGAGAGGGAACTGATGTTTAATTATAGGAACAACAATGAAAATACAGGGCCATGCTCAGGTGAGGTGGTTAGTTAAATGAAGATTTAAACAGGTAAATGTCTGACATCCAAAATAATATGAAGACAAACTACTCTCCTGCAAAACTCATAGTTGAGAAACCCTTACTGTGTGAAAAGTGGAGAGTGGAAGGAGGAGAGAGGAGAAAGGTGACAAAGATAAGGTGGGAACTCTAGCTTACCCCCATGCTCCTCTTCTTCTCCCCTTCTATCACTCCTGGATTCCAATAAAGCCATATCTCATAAACAAGTGCTGTTTTTTTTAATAGAGTCTCGTTCAATACATGCCTGGCTGTACAGCGGAGTGCGGTTCACTTTATTACTGGCTCTGACTGAGGTGGTACTCTCATAAGAATTTACCGCCGAATGCACAATCCCACAAAGTGACAGGCTCGGCCATCTCTGTGACAAGGCTAAGGCTTTAACAGCTCACACACCTGAACACACACACACGGACCAAAACAGACACAAACTGTTGCAATATAAATACTCACGTCCATGAACTCCACATTGGCTTTAGGGCCGGTGGCCTCGTTGAGGATTTTAATGGCCACGGGGATCTTCACTGTCTCACCTTCTGGGACCCAGATGCCCTGAAATATACAAGCAATCACCATAAATGCACTGCACTAAGTCTCAATAAACACGGTGATTTTGATGGCTGCTGCTTATGTTTTAATGGCGTCTACTGTCCCGCTAACCTTCCTCTGCAGGTTGGTGTTTGCACCTGCACCGACTCTATTCCTGAGGCCGAGTCTGTGCTCTCGTGACCTGCTTGTCACTGTAAAAAAATGATTTATTACTCGACCTGTTCTCAGGTGAGTCTGAACACCTTCAATAAAGTCGTGGGAAAAGAGAATTAAAACGAGGAAATATTAAAGTCTTATTTACTTTATGGGGCCTAAAGTCAACCACCTGCTACAGGCAAGGAGCTGTGCATAATAATATGGCTATAAATTGATGGTAGACTATGTATGCAGATTAAGTGTAATAAAATATAGCTATAAAAAGAACAACAAGCCCGGCAGTAGTGGTATTGAGAGGAATGGTGGTGGGGAAATAGAGTATTTATTCAATGGGTTTGCTGAGTTTCGCGGTGATATGAATAATTTTGCCAAGGGCAGTGAATCTGGCAAACAAACAGCATTTTCAGTTCCAGGTCCTTGAACCGCCCTAGGCTCATGTCTGTCAGGAAACATTGCTACAAAGGGAAATATTTATGCTTATTGTTTAGGTTGTCAAGAAGGGTTGTTTTACTGGTGGGAGGGCAGCTTCCGTTGAAAGAAACTTTGTGCTCGAGTATCTTGTTCGCCATTTAGCTGATCCACTGATGTTTGATTGATGATCCGGAGGCTGCGCATTTGAGCGAGGCCTGGTTTGTGAATTATGTACACACACACACACACACACACACACACACACACACACACATACATAAACAGGCTCTTACATATGCAGACACACACGCTGACCTTGTAGACGGTTCCAAAAGCTCCTGAACCCAGAATCTTGACCCTCTTCAGCTCCGTCTCTTTCAGGATCCGCAGCTGAGCCTGGTTAGGGGCCGTTCCACTGGGGGTCAGCACCTCCACCAGCTGACAACACACACACACACACACAAACATAAACATTTAGAGTATTTCCCCACTAACCACTTCCTTTTTATAGGTAATAGTGCCAAAAACATGAGTCCTTCCTCACAGCTACTTCTTTTATTGTGAAAATACTAAAAGCCTAAAGCTTGCCTTTCTTTTGCTCCGAGTCTAAATATTTTCATCCTCCTGCTCTTGAAACCCTGAATAGTAAAAACATTTAAGAGGTGTTGGGGGAGTGCAGCAGGGTGAGGCCGCTTTGTTTAAAATAATAAGAAATAAACTACGCTTGGATAGAAGATTTAAGGTAACACCAAGCTTTTTGTTTTTCTATAGCAAATAAATACACAGCCAAAACCAGACATGATTTTGCAATATACACACACACACACATTTATGACAGGCAAATAATTTGGGGGTGTGAATGAGAAGTTTTCAGCGTGTCCACCACTAAACAAATCACAGTCCGGTGTCAGCTACTATCACAGCCGACAAAGAGTAGCAGCTCACCAGCTGTGCACATACAAAACAATTTCCAATCCGAGGTTATGACGAGCCTCCTCCACGCTGCCTGGCTGCCAGGAACAGCTGACACTGAGCAGCATCCCAGCAGCTGGCCGGCCACCCGCCTCAACCGCTAGCCGCTCAACAAAGCCTCGGTTAGTGAATATAAAGAGCGGTGGCTGGCACCTGTAACCGAGCTGTGAAGAGATCTGAGCCAGAGGGAAGGAAGAGCCACACACACGTGCACAGACACACGCACGCACACAGATATACACATACATATAACACCTAAATTCAGCCAGACAGCATATAGTGCATATCTCACAACAATAACACATGCATGATGTACAGATTCAAACATCAAATCAAAAGCAAAGATGAAGGAACACACAGAACATATCAGACCACAAAACACACACACACACATACACACACAGAAGAAGTCAATGTCTCCGATCAATACATGTCTTAATGAGCCTATCAGCCTATCGGGTCTCACATTCGCTGTGGTTTATCAGCAGCATAATCACCCGGCTCAACCATGGCCATCAAACAATATAATGAGACCATATATCAGTCGGTCAGCCATACAAGCACTTACTCAATGTGATATAAAACCATCAGCACAATAGGGCCGGCGATTGCACCGCCAGGCCGGTCCACAGAATGGATGACATTGCCCGCAGCATGGCAATGACACGTCGTTTAATGGCTATTGTTATGGCCGGGCCGGAGGGCGTGGTGTAAGCCCGCTGAGATATCACTGCAGGAAGTGAGTTAGCAGACGGAGCAGGGGAAGGGAGGATGAGGGATAAATACCAGGGGAAGTGAGTGAGATGACAGAAGTAGCACTGAGTGACTGTGTGATAGATCTTAACCCGCTTATTTCATCCAATGTGTCCTGAAATCTTGTTTACAAAAGTACAATTCCATGACATCTGGGCAAACTATCCACTGAGGAAGACCATGTGATGTCATCAAAAGCTACTAAATGGACCTTGAGGTGAAATTGGCCCACGGTCAAGTGACAGCATCTCTCCTGCATTAAAAAAAATAAGCCATAAATGCAGAATATTAAACTCTTTTGTTTCTCTTTCCCCAGTGTGTTTAAGGCTGAAGCTAACTTAATCATTTGGCAATTCCACATGAGAGAAAAAGCAACACTGGCAGCAAATATTCAAGACATTTATTGGACAATAATTGTGCCAAAAATAACAAGGATTCTGTCTTGGTATCAGTTTCTTTAAAAAAAATATTCATTATGAAAGGCTTGTAAGTAGCTCCTGCTATCATTAACGGCTAATTGATAGAGGTTTAGAGCATTAGTATTAAGCCAGTAGCTGTCGGGCATATTAATTTAGTCCACTTGTGTCACTACACTGAGGTTTTTTAAGTCTCATTTGAATACACAAAAAAATAAACAACTTCTTGTTACTATTATTATTATCCAATATCTGTTTATGACAAATTTATACCTTATCCTGTAACTGCATAGATTCACTATTGACTTGTTGTGCTATTTCAGTTTCTCATCAAAAGTTCACTTATTTGCAATTTGTCTGTATTACTTTTATTATTCTATTTTCTTATCTGCCTCTTTGGGCATCATTATCTTTTGCTTCATGCCTGATTTGTGTGACTTGATGTTACATCCATATATTTTTGGGAGCTGGCAGATTATTTTGCAGACAACCCCTCAATTCTTTCATATTCTTTGACAGTATTTAGACCATCCCATGACACTAAAACTCTCAACTGTATCCAGTGAGGTGGGTTTAGTGACTCTTTAGGGCAAGGTGATCTAGGTTGATTGGTAGAGGTACAGCAAATGGACATCATCATTAAAACCAATCAAAAAACACAGAAACTCTGGCTGACTTTCTTCCTGCCGACAAGAAGGACAAGCTTTGGTCGCATCCATCATATCAGCCTGGGGAAAGAGCCTTATTTGCATCAGTGTGTTTTGTGCATACACTGCATGGATAACATGAGAACAAGTCACATTGTAGGTCGAGAGAAATAGAGTGATTCGGAAAGAGAGAGCAGAGATGAGGCGTAGGGAGGTGGCGACAGAGCCCTAATAAGAGCAGATGGTAACAGGCTGTAGTTGTTATTGTTCCATTAGGATAAAGCTGGACTGGACTGATGAAGGGAAGTGAAGAGGGGAGGAGAAGAGGAGAGGGAAGGAGTGGAGAGGGGAGGTCTATTAAATGAGATGCAGACCCATGGCCTAGAAAATTCTCTTGAGCTAGTTCGGACTCACACACACTCTCCACGACACTTTATTTACCAGCTAATAATCCACCATGCCTTTGCCAAATGAGCTTCAGTGGTGGCGTGGTGGAGAGGATTCGGATTCTTCATTGGACAAATAAGCAGTATGTTCAAGCCTTGGGCTAGAATACATTCACAGAATTATTGTGTATTGAATAAGTAAACAGTGTCCTCAAACATAAACTTGTTCTGCAAACCCTCGGGTGTACGCTTTAATGTTCACATTACCCATATAAAACGCTGCATTTGTTGCGCTGCGTAATTGAAATCAGGTGGAACAAGATTGCCGTGCCTAACAGCCACCACATTGTGGGGAACCAGTACTGGTATCTTGAAGTTATTCTACTTTCTTCTCTGCCCACATCTGATTAGCTCTTGATTAAGAGCAGGAAAAGATGGAAACTATGCAGCGCTGGGGCTCTGCAGGGCCAGGAGGGGGCATCACTGTTTGATACACTCAGATAGATAGATAAGCGATAGCCAAATGATCTAAACCAATTTTTTTGAGGTAACACCATAAGGGAGAGCACCCAGAATGTCTATAATAACCCCTCATTGCACAGGAAAAGAAAGTTGCCATGACGTTGGTTTGTAAAAATAAAGATTTTGAGTTTCTTGCCTCTTTTAAAGGTGACATATCCTGATGTATCCAGCATCAATAGACAGTTTTAACTATATGCTTTGCTTCCTCGTCTGGTGGGACATTATTTAGAGACCAAATATGAAATGAGATCAAATAAAATGCGAACCAATCTGTCTAAAGTCTAAATCTGAGCCAACTATAAAGATGATTCTCTGACGTTCCATGATTACTGAACAGATTTTGTAACTGTTTTTTTTAATTTTTATGGCTGAACCTGTACATCAAACAGAAAAGTTGTACTTTTCTGTTTGATGTACAGGTTCAAGACGGCTTATTTGGTGTCTTTTGAATCACTGAGATCTTAAGTTGAATATGACATAAGGTTGAGTTTGTTTGAACAATGCCTGGCTGCACTACATTCATTTGTAATGATGTCTCGTGAGTCTGTTCAGTCAGCCTGCCCTGGGGTAAACAATGGGAGCTGTCCAGCTCTCCCCAATGCTGAAATTCTTATAAGATAGCAGAGGCCAGCACGAAAGCAGTGTGAGAGCTATCCACAGCCTGTGGTGCTGAAACACTCACACGGCGCATGTCTGTACAAAGCAGCTTGAAGAGGACCTTGGGGGCAGGGGGAGGAACAGAGGGCGATTCCAAGCGCATTAGTCCTGCTTCATTGGGCTGGGGTCAAAGTTCAAGGCCTGGGGTCGTGCTGCAACAGTGAGGGGACTCTGCTGTTTGTGCTGTCTCTCCCTGCGAAAAGCAATTTGTTTTCAGGGGCTTCTTCAAAAGGCACCACAGTGTGAGACAGGCTTTTTTATATTAGCCTCTATATTTCTCTCAAGGTGAGAGAGAGAGAGAGAGAGAGAGGGAAAAACAAAAACAGAAAGAGAGAGTTAAAATGATAGAAGAATAAAGTGTCTGCTCGCAAGGGAGACAGATAAAGAGAGATACAGACATGAAAATGGAGAACAAAAAGAGAAGAAGGAGGTGAAGACGCGAGAAAAGACATAGACAGAGAATAGTAAAACAAAGAAAACAATGAAGAAATGAAACAGCAGTGTGTTTTGCAAGTCAACACAGTGCAACAGTGATATGGAAATGCTAGCTGAGTGCTCAGATCACGTTTTGACAGCGCGTACTGGAGGCATCTTTTTCCTGTCTGATACAAGAGGTGAGCTCTGTGTTTAAAAAGCTAAGGCAGATAGGGAGAAAGAGAGAAGGTGGATAGGGGGTGGGGGTGGGGGAGTCCCTGAGCCTTCGCTGTCCCCAAATCCCTCACCCAGACAAGCTTGATCTCCATTCACAGACACAGACTCAGCTCTGTTATTCGTTTGAATAGAGAATCCACATTCACCAGCCGCGCTAAGCCTATCGCGCGGTTTCATCAGCCAGAAAAGAGCCTCTGGAAGGTGTGATACAGACTGCAAGGAGTGCAGGTTTTTTTAGCATGCTGGGTGGGTGAGAGTGGAGAACAACATTCAGAGGGAAAGTGAACAGGGGAAAGAGGAGTATCTGTGTGTATGCTCAAAGTATGCGCACAGGAAATATTCAAGGGAGGGATTTAAATTCAAGTGAGGTGAAGAAACAGACACCTTATGAAATGAGCGCTGGCAACAAAATCAACAGCATTATGCGTCCTGTAAGCATACGACCACCTCTGAATTTTCACTTAATGCAAATATATACTAGTATTTTGGATTGAAACCCTTCAAATGATGGCTATAGATTACACGTTCACCTCTCTGCAGGCACAACATCATAACTGTCAGGTCATTCTTTTAGTTGTTGATTTTTTTTCTTCATCATCCAGCTAATGCTCTTACACACAGTGACCTACAAAGACCGAGCAGGGTCAGTGTCATGCTTAGGACCATTGCAACATGGCTACTAATGTGCATGCATGTGGGCCATTGTGGGGATTGAACCCATGACCTACACTTATTGAGCAGTCTGTTTAACCTGTAGGCCAACCTGCCACAGGCGATAAAGATTTTATTATGTCTAATTACTTTTAGACCCAATTAAGTCTCCACAGAGAATGGAAAAATTGACTCAGCTGGTTATATTTCATGTTTTCCTGGTGGAGTATTGAGCCAAGCTTTGCAGGAGCAAAAATCAGTCTCAGGACAACTTTATAAAAGGAGATGCAAAAGGGGCAAAGAGGATCTCCCTCCGGCCTGATCCTCTCCGGCCCCTCCTTCTCCATGACAGTACATTAGCGAATCTACTTGGGCCGAAGCCTCCCCTCCCGGTCAAGAGGCTGTCGGAACAGGGCTCGGTTGATTAAGATGGATGTGCGTGGCCGAGATGAGGCAGAAACTGCCCATGGCCGCCCTCCTCCAATTCCCATCTCTGGCCTGACAGCTGTCTATAACACTGCTGCCTCTACCTGTAAATTATCCTAATGCGGACTGACATGCAGCCTGCCCCACTCCTATAGGCAAGGCCACTCAGCGGACCTGCAGTGATGACATAACTGCTGGGCCACACACAGGAAACAAAGGGGAAGAGTGTCTTGTCACAGCACAAAGGTGATCAACCAGAGCATGAACACACATGTGCACATAAACCCTGGACTCACGTACACCTCAATCTCTGACTTTCCCCTTTGAATATAAAGTCGGCTCCAGTGTCTAATGCTTCCCAGAAATGAACCCTTCCCAAGGCCAGATCAATAGGCGATGGCAGTCATGCATAATTTCAAAATCTTCTGCGCACTGCGTGGTTTGGCTAAGTACCATGGCCAAGGTTTAATATTTCAAGGTTCACTTATGAGTCTAGTTGTGTTGGCATCTATCTGAAAAACTGCAGTGAGGTCAAGGATCAAACTCAAAGAGAGAGGGAAGTCCAGCAACAAAAACTAAAAAATAAGATTAGGGGGAAGTCCTTACAAAGAGCAGTAAAGCACAGAAATTACCAATTCAAGTGTCTAGTTTGTGTTTGTTTGTCTCGTTTAATTAAGAGAGCTCAAAAATAAAAGTTTTTTTTTTTTGTCACATTAATAATAAGGTAGCTGTATTTAAGGAAACTTTTCCCAATTTCCTCTCTGGAATCTATAAAATTCATTATACAGCAGTAATTTGCTGATGATAGCACAGGACAAATCTAGGACTAATTTATTCTGTGGTTGCAAATGCAACAATTAATTCTCCAATTCTGTATCTTATGACAAAAATGAACTCAAGTTAACAGTGTAAGAAAAACTCTACAGTATTTTCAGCTGCTCTAACAAGCATAAATTATGACCTCTATCCTCTCACCTCTGTCTCTAGGAATCGCCTCAAGGCCCTCTTCTTCTTGATGCTTTTGCGTCGAACGTACACGGCCACACTGAGCGCCAGAATGACGATGATAAATAGACTTCCGATAATGCCAGCTGCTATTAGGGGTGTCCTGTAGAGACAACGGAAGAGAAGAAACATTAGGCTTGCGTAGGAAAACGTTAAGAAACTAAAAGGCACTTTGAAGAAAGTGCAAACCTAAGCCAGTGCTGATAAACTCTCCAACCTGCTGTTATACTTTAAAATAGTCTCAGCACCTCAGACTGAACCCGTGAACCTGGAGTCAAGTCGTCTGCTTGATTGGCTGCAGCTAAGAAATACGATGCTGGACCACAAAGCTCTAATCAATCAGCCCATTTCTCTTCGATCTGAGAGATCCTTTGATGCCAATGGAACCAATGGAAAAAACAAGCAATGAGCAGCTTGTTTTCAGTCATTTGCGCTCAACGTTTGATGATTAAAACGGCTGCTTCTTGAAACTATCCACTGCAACCACCCAAGACGCCTTCACGTGACTGCTGGGAGAGTTTGTGCAGCTTCTGTCCTCACCTTCCTCTCACACCTCCTCTCATTTTGTAGCTTCACTTTAAGATCAAAAACAAGCTCAGCCCCATACGCACACGGCTGCTTTTAGGATAAAAAAAAAATAATAAATGGTTCCATTTCCACCGCCATGTTCCCAAAAAGGCCAACACTATGAGCACACGGCTATTTCCAAGTGCCTGTTGCTTCCATTTTCACAGGTCAGAAGAAAAAAAAGCCTTTGATGGTGTGTGTGCTCCTGTTGCTTGAGTTGGTGGAGAAGCTGCAGCTTGTGCTATGCTGGACTGGATTTCCTTGTGTTTCAGCGGAGTCGTTTCTATCGTGGATGAAATAACTCAAACGTCAAATAAGTGAGGAATTAAACGTGCCAATCCATCACAAATTGCCTACGAGTCTTTTGGGGGAAAATCTGCTTCAGACAAGCTTAAAGGTCAGCAGTTAAAAGCTCCTTCTTTTCGCTAATGATGGCACTAATGCATTTGCCATTTACATACCTCTTGCACTTGAGTCTACTGTTATGTTATGCTACCACTCAATTCTGTCCTTCTATTACTCTGTCCTTCTTTATTCTTCCCATCTCAATTCATCTCATCAGTGCCCTCTTTTTTTTTTAGCATAACACCACCCACTTCTACCTGATACTCTAAGTTCAAAACTCTTTTAGCTGTGAAGGCCAAGGCCTAGAGATAATGGAAGACTCATGTACCATAGAGATATGGCAGAGCAAGGTGCCACAGCGTTTGCTGTATCGATTGTGACGGACATAAAGAAGGGGGATCTTCAAATTTACAAAGAGGCTGAGGGCTTCGACATAATCAGATATACAGCCATGTGGTGAATAGTAATGCAGCAGTTTGGAATGATTAGGTCGGAAGGGGGTTAGAGAGACAAGGAGAAACATCGACAATAGAAAGAACGTTGTGGGATAGAGATAAAAAGATATAGAGAGGAAAAAAAGGAAAGCAATTTAGAAAACTAAAGACAAAAACACCTGAAAAGGGAAGAAAGGGAGGAGAAAGAGACGTGTGCATGCAGCGCAGGAGACGAGAACGAAGGGAAGAAAGAGGGAGAGAGTTGAGAGAAAACAAAAGGAAGAGGTGAGGAACTGGTGGCGAGACAAATAACAGAGAGTGAGAAAGCAAGGTGAGAGACAAGGGAAAGGACTCCTCTAATTAGGAGGAAAAGGTTTACAGCAGAACAGGCGACACGGGGTCATCAGATGAGACGGGGGAATAATGCCAGTGTAAAACAACTCGGGGACAAGAGACTCAGCAGAAGCCTCCCAGAGGAAAATAAAAAGGTCTCGTTTCTGTTTCCTCTGTTTAAAAGGAGCTCCGGACCCTCTTTCATGGGTTTAGCTGGTTTGGTTCAATTCTCATGAGTTCTTCACTCTTTTGAATTTGCTCTAAATGTAAAGATCACTCGCTTTTATGGTAGTTGTTGTTGTGTCCCCCAAGATATTTACACTCCTCTTGTTGATATTATGTTGATGGATTATTAGAATCAGTGACTCTAGCAGTAGAAATAGTAGAGGTAGTATGGTAATGAAGTAAGAGAGTTTCGAAGTCTCTGAGGGCAAGTCTTTTTTCTTTTCAAAGCTCCATCAAATTTGTTTTCAAGAGCAGTCTCAAGCTTTAATAAAAATAGGGCTCCATGTGCGCTGACACAGTCCAAAATCTAAGTGACACAAATTAGAGAACAGAAAAACAGAGATGAGACTAACAAATACACAAAAAACTGTTATCTCTCAAATGTATAAACAAGACTGACAGAGCAACGATGCAGCGCTGTATGACTTGTTAATGAGTGTGATGAGAGACCGTTTTTAATAGGGACTTTAAAGAGCGGTGGCAGGATCTGATGGTTGTCTCCCAGTGCCACATTACAAATGTATCCTGAGATCCCTTACCTGTCCATCATCCCAACACAATCTTGAAGCCTTGGCCCGACGCACCTGCAGGGGCAGACAAACCAGAGAGATCATCCATTAAATCAGGAACAGGTTATGAGTAAACCTCATGTTGTCTTTCCGCCGTGTCAATCAGCTGTCACCGGGCAGGGACCGGTGGAAAATTGAATCCCAAGCACGGCTGACCGCTTGTCAATATGACAGAGAGAAGCATTTTGGTGGGAAAGCATTGTTCTTGTTTGTGATACGCGACATTTAAATTGTTTTTTTTTTTTTTTTGGACTGAGAAAACATTCCTGACTCATTTGGATCTCAGAGCATTTGCTAACCATGGTGCTCTGTTAAACCTGCAGGGAAAGTAAAGGGAAAACAGACAAATTCAAGTCAAAGATACTAAGGTGCTCTCTCACCATCTGAGTATATGTACCTTTCTTCACTGTCAAAGCTGGAACTAAGGGATGAGGTTGAGAAATACTGGGTGTGATGTTGCGGACACGGGGTAGATCCGGTGTCAGGTTAGTGTAGGTGGCGTGTAGATGAATAAATTCCAGGGTGACAGGGTTTACTGTTGAGCCTTCGAGGGGTGTTAGCAAGCTAATACAGCCCCATCATAGCTGCTTTACTAACATCTAAGCCAGGCCTTTTCCATAAATACAGCTGCTTTTACATAAGTGCGACAGACTACCAGCCTTCAGATAATTATCGCCTGACTTTGCAATTCCCCTCAGCCCTAGGGAGTATTTTTTACTGTCTTTTAGCTGATTGTTTTGGTTTTCGAAGGTGCCACTTCATTCTTGCTGCTCCCATCGTCGTTTTCTGCCCCAGCATGCAGCTGTTTTCAGCATAAAAGATCTGAAAACTCCACCGTAAATGACCTTGCCTTGCCTTTCAAATCTTTTATCTATTTTTTAATTTGAAATTAAGAATGCCTCGCTTCTGTATTTGCTGTTTAACTGGCTCAGGGGATTCTCTCTGTGAATCACCATCTTTAACAGAATCACATTTACCCCATCTATTTTTCCTTTCTATCTCAACAATCAAAGCCACTAGAACGTAGTGCTGTTACCACTCTGATCACTGAGAAGAGGAGTCTTTAACATTAGGTAAGCAGGAAGTGATTAGAGCAGACTCTTAGCTGCTCATTAATTCTCCCTCCTTGAGTGGAGGACTTTGAACAGCAGGATAGACACAGGAGAACAGTTTCAATGCTTCTCTGTGTGTGTGTGTGTGTGTGTGTGTGTGTGTGTGTGTGTGTGTGTGTGTGTGTGTGTGTGTGTGTGTGTGTGTGTGTGTGTGTGTGTGTGTGCCTGCAAGCTGCATGGGCACACAAGACACAACAAATTATATAGCAAATTAGGAGAGCAGGCTAACTTTGGAATTAAATCTGTGACAACTGTGGCTCCTCCGAAGTCGCTTTGTTGTCAATTAAATGGTGCACCAAATCGCTAATTAGCAGGCAATCAATGTCTGTATCCGATGTTGTCTGTGTGTGTGTGGATGTGAGTTTGAGTGTGTGCACAGGAGCCACATAGTTTCCTTCCTGAGTCAACAAGAGAACAAAGGAATGGTCTTTCAATAAACAGCACAGCTCATCTGCCCTGTTCAAGTGTCTTTTAGCCCGATTCGGACTCTTTGCGAGCTCTACAGGTGCCATCTTCCTCCTGACACTGACCTCTGACCTCTGAAATGTCTCACTTTGGCTCATACCCCTCAAATCCCCTGCCTCAGCTTTTATCTCGATGTTAATCCACAGCACCCTGTGGCTGGAGGGCAGGACAAAATGACAGGGCACGATGAAGGAGTTGTCATGCCAACGACAGATTCGTCTTCACAGCGTCAGGAATGTGTGGGTGTGTGTATCTGTGCGAATGACAGCTGTCATGGGAAGAATTACAACCTCACACTTAACCTCTTCTCTGCTTCCTACCTTTACTTTTTTTGACACTCATCTCCCCTGCTTCTTTTGCATCCATTACCTTCATGTCTTCTTTACCCCTATTTTCCCTTCTTTACCCCATCTACTCTTTCAAAACTCCTTCATTCTGCCTTTTTAAAACTGCACTAACATTATCAACAGTAAAATAAAATTACCTCCTGCTATGTGAGACAGAACATGCAGTCCTTTCCTCCTCACATCATCTCTCCAGCCATCTTTCTGTTGCTAGGTTTCAGTGTTCTAACTTTGTTTGCTGAGACCACCGTCATACACCCCCCCTCGCCAGTCATCTTCTCTCTGTTCTCTGACCAATCCACCGACTCTGCAGCTGCTTCCCTCGTGGTGCGCTCCCAGTAATAGTGAAAAGGTAAAAGGCCAAGGTCTCAAGTTCAAAGTCACAGCCACGCTGACTTCAAAGATAAGCAAGGATGGAGATGTAAACCCTGCTGGTAAAGAAGGCACATTTTCTTTTCTATCCACAGACTGCATGCTTTTGAAGAGTAGTGCTGCTTTGGTCTCTTGTATTAGACAGCTGAGTAATGGCTAAGCCCTGGGTTTATTTACAGGTTTCTATGCAGCCCTGCATTTTGACTTTTAGCACTCGGATATCTAGTGGTCATATTAAGTAACTATGTATATAAGTCTGTCATCTGTATCGCCCTTTAAAGGTCCCATATTTTATTGTTTTATTTCAAAGTGTTGATCCATAAGAAGATATAGTTGTTTCAGTACCAAAAACCATCTCAATATAGTTTTAAATCTCCTCTCTCAGGCATCTCTCTGGAGCTTTAGTAACAACAGGTCAGTGAGCCAATCAGAAGAGAGGAGGCTCTGAGTCAAATCCTGCAAGGTTGGATGGTTGGTCTAGGTGAGCGGGGCTTGGGGCATGGCTGAGAGTGGTCACTGCTTCGTTGTGACATCACAAAGTTACCGGAAGTCCTGACGGCTACCACTCAGTTTCTGAATACAGGCTGTGTGCATTTCTCTGTGGACTGAGCTTTGACAGTATGAATATAGAACCTAGACCTGCTTTATAATGAAAAAAAGACATGGACATCTACCTTTATACAATGTGGGACCCTTAAAGTATAAAAGGAAAGCAAATAATGCTTTGTTTCCAGGAGCTATAGCCAGGAGATGGTGAGGGAAGCTCAACACAAAGACTGCTAACAATGAGCCAAAGGTAAAAAGAAAATAATCTGCATGAACTTCAGCGGTGCTAGTATGCTGGAGTTTTTTATCTTTGAGGCTAGCTGGTTCCCTTTGTTTCCAGTGTTTATGCTAAGCTAACTGGCTGCTGGTTATAGCTTCAGTTCGCGAGTGGTATCAATCTTCCCATCTAACTCTCGACATGAAAGCACTAAGTGTATTTCCCAAGATGTTGAACAACTGCTTTAAGCCCAAAATTGCATCAGCTACTTAGTCAAAACTAAACAAAAGTTACATCAGCAAACAACAGATTATTAATTAATGTAATTAATTTTTCGTCTAAAAATGTCAGCAAATAGTAAAAAATACCCATCATAAGTTCCCAGAGCCCAAAACTGTGTCCTCTAATGGCTTGTTTTGTCAGATCATGGCTGAAAACCAAATCATATTAAAATTCACACTGAAAAAGAAGAAAAAAGCAAAAATCCCACAGTTGAGAAGCTGGAGCTACAGAATGCAACCAGAGAATGCTCGGTGTTTTTGCTCTAACAAATTAATCACTCATCAAAATTGTTGTAGATTCATTTTCTACTGATTAGTTGCCTAAAAGCTTCCAGTGCTAGACTCCATAGTCCCATTTTACCCATCTCTCAGCAACTCTTTCTGGTTGTGTACAGTTCCAAACAGGGAAAAACCTCATTGTTTTTTTGACAGCAAGACCAGCAGGCATCCTCTTTATAGTTCTGGTATAAGCAAAATAAATCAATTTCTTTATTTTATTTTAGCAATGTCACACAGAGAGAACACTGTCCTGTGGCTACAGTAAGTCTATAATGAGGTCGATTGGGTACATATACAGCGTAATGCAGAAGATTTGAGAACTCTGTTATGATAATGTTATGCTCATTTGGAGCTCTTCGGGTGACCTTTTGCACCAGTTCTGATTTGTAACTTACTGTGATCACAGATGAATTGAATGCACTTTGTTCCAGCCAATATAACATGTATTTTCCAACAGAAACATTTCTTAATGTAGCTCTTGCTCTCAGGTAAATCTCCCACCCACTCCTTCATTTGCGACCTTTCCTCTCTGTCTTTCTGATCTTACATTTTCCCACTGTACTCACCCCCCCCGTCTTCATATCTTCCTTGTACTAACTGTCATTCTGCAACCATCCCTTCAGTCAGAGTTCATCTGCACTGTACTGCACATGGACTTAAGGGTCAATGTATTCTGCTCCTGACCAGTGGGCCCCCAGGAGCCAGCTACAGGTCAGGGAATCTACTAGATTCTAATAGGCTGCTAGAATAAGTCATCTGCTCTCCCTCACTCTTTCCCTTGCTCACTGCCTGGGAGGGAGGCGCTGCATGTCCACAAGGCCACCTGGGTGCAATGCAAGTGTGTCTTCATGATGCTTTTAACAGCATAAAAGCACCTAAACCAGAGGGTGCTCAGGAAAGTAGGAAGGCCAGCAAACACTTAAAAAGAAATTCATGAATTTTTGTACACAGACACATCTTTATGTACCATTCTGCTCTTACCCCTGGGTACAGTTGGCATGGCAGGGATGACACTCATTGTTGGCCTTGGCGTATTTGAAGATGAAACTGTTGGCTCCCTGCAGCCCGTCGGGGCACTTCTCCACGCAGTTGGGTCCATCTTTGAAGTGGAGACATTTTACACACTGGTCCGGGCCCTGAGAGGAGAGCAGAACAAGGAGGAGGGAGATGAGAGGGTGGGTTAGGAGGAGGTGGTGGACAAGGGGAGAATAAAGAAGGAAGGAAGGAGGAGGGTGCAGTAAAAGGATTAGTAAGAGGGAAAGGGGCGGATGAACAGGGAGCATGAAATGCAGAACAAATTGATGGGCGGAGGTGAAGGAAACCAGCAGGAAAAAATAAAGTTATGGAAAATGGAGTAGGATAAAGCAAGAGGGAAAATAGAGAAAAATATATGAGAAGAGAGAGAAGAATCAAATTCAAACCTGGGGAATCATGTCAATTTGTTCAATTCCTAGCACGGCTAATGCATCTAGCAGGACCCACATGAAGTCCATTCAGTGATTTATAATGTGTCGAGTGAAACTGTGTAGATTGTATTTCAATGCAACCTCTGTGAAAATGGGCAAAATGCATATGGAATCAGGTCATTTCAAAGAACGGTACATCGAGGATGATGGAGGAGATGACAAGTGGTAACTGAGCATGAGCTCAGCTGCAGCAGAACCATGAATAAGTAAGATGAATAGCATTGTGTGTGTGTGTGTGTGTGTGTGTGTGTGTGTGTGTGTGTGTGTGCATTTGTATAAAAGAAGTAAGAGAAGAACTGACTCTACTCAGTGTGTGTTTATGCTCGTGTGTGTGTCTGAGGCAACAAAGATGCTGACTTGAGTGTGAATTTACAGCTGTGCACAGATCCGTGTGTTTATGCCCGTGCGAGTCGAAGCCCCGTTGCATCCTGGGAGTTCTGGTTTTGTTGCTAATGACGACCACAACTGACCTGATAGACAGCTTCTCACGCGGTTTGACACATTCAGACGCACACCATCAATAAACATTATTCTCACTTTGCATCTTTGTGCCAATGCATGTGTGTGTGCGCACCACTGTGGGTGCATACAGATGTCTGAGAGCATTCAAGTATGTCCGCGTATGCCGTATGCATGTGTATTTGTGTGCGAGGGCGCCTGTGGATGATTGACTCTGGTGTTATTTACTACTCAACTGTGACCAGCATCTCAAAGTCAGCAGCCTCTGTGCATCCTTGAGGAGTCTCTCTCTCTCTCTCTCTCTCTCTCTCCCGGGGCAGTCAGAAAAGGTTACTCACACAACTACTAAATTCCACTAGATAAGTCGTGCAGCACATTAAATACAACTTCCTGTTATGTAACACTACACATGTAAAATCAACCTTTAGGTATTGTGTAAATCAAACTTTCCCTGGTTCTTGAAGGATAAAGGTAAGATAATCTTACCACAAATAACAATGTGCTTATCTGCAGTGCTTTTTGACATCCTTGCCTTGTCTGTGTGGTGCGGCATTATTAATGATATGAATAAATAAACGCTAAGTCATTTCCTGAAACAGCTGGGCACTGTAGTTTTTAGCAAAAGCTGCTCAAATATGAGTAAATAAATATTTGTTCGGGACCATTTTCAGCTGCGGATTAATGCACATTGGGTGCACTAGTGGGTGTTTATGGCACCAGGATGGTGTAAGTAGGTTTAACTGAAAATAAGCTACATTACCAGAGTTTATTCTAATATAAGAACATGCCAATCAGTGCAACGGCATGGCTATTGAAAGTATAAACTATTTCCAAGCAATAGCCTTTTAGTGTTTTCATAATTTGCTTGGGTTTTGTCTATCTGCAATTGCATGTGTTTTCTGAAGTCACCCACTGTACTTCTTCTTAATACTTCGTGGACAACTTTGGTTTTGGTTGTTTTGTGGGATTTGTTGCCTTTATCTTAAAAAAAAAAAAGCAATTTCAATTTATGGCCCCTTGTTGTAGTTTTTAATGGCCTGAGGGGTTAAAAAATATCCAGAAATTCAATAGAAAAAAGCACATTTGCAAAAACAAATATTCTTTTGTGTTACAGAAATAAATATCTTGTGCTATTCTATCCCCCTAATCAGCCAGTGACCCCGGTTTGGGAACCTCTGGTGTATAGTATTACACTGCAAATAATGAAATGACTCCTGCAGCCTTGCATGAGCAGATTTATTTGTACACAAGGTGCTCATGGGTGCATGTTTTTTGTGCATCTCTACTGACATTCTAAAAGGGAAATTCTAACATTTTGGAGAGTTGTGGTGTGATCACACCAGAGACCAACAGTGACTTTTTGGGAAGGTCAGAAACTAATCTCATTTTGCTGTTTTGAAAGTGTGTATGTGTGCTTGCCAAAAGCATGCCTCCTAAAGTAGCCACAGTAGTTTATCATTCCTCCCATTAACCTACCATTCACCTCTGCAAACACAGCACTTATATCTTCTGAAATCCTGCAAAACAAGATAGACTCCCACAAAATAAGTTGGAAACCCACTTTAGCACGTAGAAGATATAAGGCTATCTTGCACAGAAAAATGAGGGGAGTGGTTTTAAATTTTAAGTGAAAACTCTACTTTTGGAGAAAGCTGAGTTTGAGGGTGTCTGAAGGGAATTCAGGGGTGTCTTACCTGGCCAATACATGTCATGGTGTTCCCATCCATCTTCTCACATTGGCTATCACACTCCAGACACATGGATCCATTGGCAAATTCACGAACTTCCCTGATAGAGATTGGGAAATCGAGATAGAGATGCATGTATTATAGATTTGAGAGCGTACCCATATTAAAATATTGATTAAGAGCCTGCTGAGGGAGGATTTTGAAGTATGCTGTGTGTATATCGGCACAAGCTGTACATGGGAGGCTTTTCAATTTAAACCAATGGGTGATACAGCAGCGAGAAAGCAAGGTTAAACCTTCATTTACTCATGCACATCTCCAAGAGTCCTACTTGTACTGACTACTAGAATGCCCTCTGGTAAAGGGGCATGCAGGGCAGCGAGCTGCCTAAGACTATTTGGTCAAGTTAAAGGCTTAGTATGGTCGATATGCGAACAGAGAAGGAGCATGAATAATGAACAGCTTTTTAAATCATGGGCAAACACGAGGGGATGCGTGGAGGGAGGTGGTAGTAAGATGAGAGCTGGTGGGAGGGAATGGGAGAAAAGGAGGATGGCAGAAGAGGCCAGGGACTGTGTTTTGCTTTGGGTAGGGTGAAGGGGGAGGAACAGAGGGAGTGTGCGAAGATGAGAGGAGAAAAGGTTAAGAAAGGTAAGCAAGGGGGACAGAAAGAATAAAGTTCAGTCAAAGAAAGTTTCTTTTCATCCCGTTATCAAATCATTGCAGCTTGTGCAACTGGTAGACGTTTTATTTATACAGATAGAGAGATGCATGGAGCTCATGATGGTTTTGTTTTTCCACTTAGACTTCTAAAGGAATAGAGGTAAGCAATAGAGAGTTTACACACTGGAATTACATCAACGCAAGTTTCACAGAGCCTGGGGCCATAATGTTGAATCCTCATATGTGTACATGTATGTGTGTTTGTGTGTGCATGCATCCAACGGATCTATACATTTCTCCCTTGTTTGTGTCCGAATCGGCGCATTATCTTCTTTTTTTCTTTTTTTCTTTTTTTTGAAGTGTCTGGGCGAGCAGATGCTGGCTGCTGTCAATAACAACTGCTGCCCATCAGAAACACTTTTCACATCAGAGGGATCGATCAGCTGATCCAGAGGATGGACACCCTCAGAGGAGGATTCACCCAGCTACAAAACAAGCCCCTTTCTCACAGCGGTGGGATAATGAAAGGAACCCTGTGTGTGTGTGTGTGTGTGTTTTGTTTGTATTTGCATGTGATGCTACTGGGGTGAAATAAAGATCCAACAGATTCCGGCTTGTGAGCTGTTTTTATACGATCCTGCACTGGGAAACTTAGATCTCCTGTGGGTGTTTTTGGAATAATATTAGAATAAAGTCTGAATAAAGTCTTAAGTGGTTTTAAAGGCTGCAAAAAAGACAAGAGAGATTCTGACACTCTAGAATTCAATTACATCAAATTAAAGGGCGACAAACATGAAGATTAAATCTCCGAAATTTACTTCTGCTGAGCCATGATGTCAGGGCATTGGTCCTAATGGTTTGTGGTGCTCACAGCAGTTTGTCTCATACAAACATACAGTGTGAAATTGTGTCCTTTTATTAATGATGTCTTCGGTGGACTCAAATGAAACTCCCATTGCTCTCTTTACATTTTTCCATTGTCTTTCTTCCCCTTGTTCCAAAATAAATTAGATTTCTCTCCTGGAAGCTCAGTCCTGGGGAATCCTTTAGAAAAGAGCCCAGGCAGTGGAGAGTTATCTCTCTCGCTGCATGAGAAAAAAAAAAAAAAACATACATGGAGGAGAATGGGTGAGAGACAAAGACCTCGGCAGCGGTGCTCTCTAGGGTCATTTCCATTCCGTCAAAGCCGTTACTCCTGATTGGGCCCCTTCACGGCTGGAAGTGTGTGCCAGGGCCCCATCGGGGAATAGCCTGATGGGGGATTAGCCCTTTTTTAGCAGGAATTTAAGCAGGACTGTGGCCACCATTCAGACCTCTAGGAAACCAGAGCATGGCCAACCCACCAGAGCAACTTTTTTAATTAAACACTTTCAACGCCTCCCTAATCTGCTTCCTCCCCCAACCCCAGTAGACATCATCTCAGACGCTTTCTTTTCCCCCCTCGCACTCCTTTTGCTCTTCCTTTGTTTTATTCAACAGACGTATAAACTGAAGGGAATTAGTGCCTTTCCTCATTAAGAATGGAGACATAACGAGGGGCGAGCTGAGGAATCCTTAAGGTTTAAAAGCGCCAACCTGAAAACTTATTTAATGAGCTAACGCTATATTCTTTAGAGATATCCAGTCTAATAGAATAGATTCAGAACAAAGGCAGATATTGAGTCAATCTATGCTCTATACAGTAGAAAATCATCTATAGTAACTAAACTCATATATATCATAGAACAGTATAGAACAGTAGAGATAGTACCCATTATTCATATTAGGTATTTAGTCTTGTATACTTCTATATTGATACTGTGTCTTCCATATATTTGTAAAACACAACCCTCAGCTCTCAAGCATAGCAAGCAGCTTGCTCATTAGCAATGTGTGAATATGTAACCTTCCATTTTGTGCAACAATTTACATGTCATGTAATTTCATTTTTATTTGTATCTATAACATAATCTTGGAGGCAAGAGTCATATAATAAAGAGAAATATGTTTCTTTGGCCAGTCAGTGTAGATTTCAAACAAATCTTGTACTTTTAACTTCTCCATTCTTTGCGTTGCTTGGGAGTTTACCACCTGTTTACCACAAACAGGTGGTAAACTCCTCTCACCGTTCAGTTAAAGTGCTCAGGGACAAATACTCATCACAATCAAAAGTGATGGCAATTAAACCAAACTAGGACTCAGAGCTCTAAATGGCAGTGTTATTCAAAAGGTGCAAAAACCCATCAGGGGAACTGGAGAGGAGACAGAATTACTTTGAAAGTTAATGCCAACAAAAGTGGCAGATGAAAGCCGGGTGTCTGTATTAAAGCAAGGTCTGTTATTTTGCTGTCTTGTAAAATAGGAAACTGCTGAAAGTTTCTCTCTCTCTCTCTCTCTCTCTCTCTCTCTATCTGTGCTGGATTAGAGTGATGTTATATTTAGACAAATCATACAGCAGCCTCCACTCACAAACCCTGAGATAAAGTTTACCATTTTATCAATGGTGACAGTTAATGCAGCAAACACTATACCCAGAGTAAAAGAACAGGCTTGTCCTCTCTTTCTGATAGACAAGTATATTTTCATTCACAAAGCTCTTAATAAATTACAACCCTATATTGTACAAGTATTAGTTGAGAGCTCATGGTGCTACTAAATCAATGTGGGTTTAGTCTTTTCCTCTGCGCACAAGCACTGCAGTGATCCTTTTTGTGTATCTTTGTGTTAAAATTAAAAGGACATTGGACAAAATGCCTATTGATTTCAGGCTTATCTTGGGAGGAACTTGACTCTGTTCTGAAGGCTGAAACTTTGCTCTTTCAAGTCATTTTAAGGATCTTCTGACTCACTTTTTGATATATGACTTTCTTTCTTCTTTTTATGTCCAGTGTTAGTCTAGATGAGTCCCTGGTTCGACTCCTGGGCGGCCAGACTGTTTGCCGCATCATCTCCTACTCTCTCCCTGAACTTCCTGTCTATTGGTTCTATCAAATAAAGGCACAAAATAACTTTAAAAAATAAAAAAAAAGTTTTGTATTGGTTTGAGAGAGACAGAAAGGATAGAGTGTTAAGTCACCAGGGAAAAGAAATACAGGTTATCCAGGAAGCGATACTTCATCTGTCAAAGATACATTTTTACAGCACTGGCGCTTGACAGGTGGTGACTTGTTACACCAGGCAAACCTTTAGGTTATAGACAGTTTGATTCCACATTCAGGCCAGTGACACAGAGCATGAGGTGGGGCTGTCCAGCTTTACTTGTGATGCATCACAGTGACTGTATTTACAGTATAGTTGACGAGTGTGCTCCAGCAGTTTCCTGCCACGCGCCTCTCCCTCGCTCGCCAGTCTTCTTCAAAGCCTTCGCTCTGAGCTGTTTTCCCAGGCAACTTCAAAGCCTCCCTTCCACAAACGGCGCCGGGAAAGGACCAGCAACAAGTCAACATGACCGAGGCTTGCTCGCTCTCTCACAATCCTCTCTCGCACACACACACACGCACACACGCACACGCACACACCTGGGGAAAACACTAGCTTGACATCGCTGCTCGGAGGAGAAGTCGCATTCATCTTGTGGAAGATGCTGCCGGTGCAGTCTTATTTTAGATGGATGCTTTCAAGTGTTGCGATTGACAACATCTCCTCATTCATTCAAGAGGAGCACAAAAGGCTGGAAACTACATCTACAAAGAAGTGTTTCTCCCCAGGTGAGTTGGCAGTGATCTTTTTGATGTGCCTCTTGGCAGCGGAAAGCAATGACCTGAATGCAATTATTCACACTGAAAACAGAACATCAGAGGATTGTAAGGGCCTTTGTCGCAAATGTCAGTCATTTCCCAGCTCAGAGCAGTAAACACTCATGTCTGTCAGCTCGAATGGGCAAGTCGTAATTAAATATAATACTTCAACAATATATTCAAATTGATTTTGGACAATGGATGTAAGACGCAGCCAAATGTTCCTTTAACTGTTCACGTTAACTGTTCACAGTGTGAGATCCCTTATTGGTTCATCTCATTATATTCACGCCAATTGGCAATTAGACTCTCCTCCTCCAGAGCCCTTGAGGATGTTTTGACTTCATTCTCATGCATCAAAGCTGTTCAAATTGATTTTATATCCTCCACTTGTCATGTATGGCTGTTTGCAGGGGAATTAATGCAGTCTCCTGAAGCTCTAATGATGTGACATTGAGGAAAATGCTAATTTTTGGGTGAGTTTTAAAGATTTGTGTCAGATCAGCTCAAACGGAGTACTTGACACTTGTAAAATGTTTGTCCAGAGTGCACTGAATGACGGTTTACTCACCCGTCAAAGAGGTTGCAGGACTCGATGCAGGTGCGGCCTCGTCTGAAATATCGACAGGAGAGACACTGGTCCGGCCCCGGGCCCCAACAACCATCGTCCGAACACATCCGGTCACACACCATCCGCTGCTGAGCTGCGGAGAGAAAGGAGGGAAAATAAATTTAAAAGTGAAAAAAATAAATGAGCAAATACTGTAAGGCATTTACATGTGTACACATACACTCGCAGTCACACGCTGCTGTAGCCTGCAGATACCCACCCACACACATAATTCAATTCAAGTACAAAACATATCAACTTAGGCTTTATAGCGAGCATATTAGGTTATAGATTGAAAGTGTGTGTATGTGTGTGTGTGTACTGTATTCGTGCCTAAGAGATAAGTTGGTGTTGGTGCCTGTGCATGTGTGTATTACCAGCATGTCTTTGCACATTTGTGTGTGTGTGTGTGTGTGTGTGTGTGTGTGTGTGTGCGCACGTGTGTGTGCGTGTATGTATGTGTAGCCGGGGGGCATCCCAGCTGTGTAAGTAAACATTGGTATTCCTCACACCTCTGCCATTAAAGGGCTCTCCAACCAGAACCCTAAGCTCTTTTTTCCCCCAGTCAAACCACAATAATCGATGTTGGTCATCGGACTCGGCGTGCTCTCCATCCGGTGAGTGACACCCGCGTCCCCGGGAGTGTCGCCCGGTGGGGGCCAGACCTTTTGTCAACAGCCACACAATCAGTGGAAGACAGGGGGTTGAGTCTAATGAAGAGGCCTGTGTAAGGCCCCATCGATCGCACATACACACAGACACGGCACTCATTAACTGGCTAATGATATCAACCGCAGCCTGGCAGGGCCAAGAAAAACTATGGTGGCCCGTGTGTGTGTTTTCTACTTATCTCTGTCACAGTGGGCTTTACTGGAAAGCACACATGCATGATTCATTCAAGTGTAACAAATATAAATAAGATCAAAAACATACTTACTTTTGAATAATAAGACTTTTATTTTCTTGTCACTGAGAGGCTCTTTGTGGTCAGTTTCCACCATCTGCAGCTAAACCACATGTATACTATTCATGGTTCATCAGGTATCCACTTCCCTGTGGCTAACAGCGAGCTTAATCCACCGCTGTGCATGACACATTAAGCACTTTCCTCTCAGGGAGCTGAATAAGGGCTTTCATGGCCAAGGCCAAGGAGCAAGAGACGCCTGTGATACTGTCGTCTTGGAAACAGGCATGTCAGTGTGCAAGGCCGGGGTGGAGCTGAATTTGCAAAGATATACAGGGAATCTATGTTTGGAATTAATTAGACGGCTAATGGGAGAGAAAATAAGAGAACAGGAAGACTTAATAGGTGTTTAGTTTTCCACTGCATGCGTGTTAAGATAAATGATTATGCGTATGCGTGATCGTGTAAGAGTGTCCTCTGCTTTAACCTGCATGATTCGCAGGTGCGTCAACATGCCAATACATACATGTTCATCAGAAATGCAAATGCAAAACCTTATCCTGAAATTTCCAAAATGAAAACAATGACACATCTTCTTTTAAGGCGGCTGATATCACATTAAACTAACTGCAAGAACTTGACTTGAACCCAAAGTTATGCTGCAGCATGTGCCCTACTTGGATGTACATCTTCTGCTTAGTGGCTGTGAGTTTGTTTGGCTGTCACAGAGTCAAGCTTTTTGCCGCTTAGGGGATTTTTAGTGTATTTGAATTTAATTAATTTGGGCGAATGTGGCAAATATTTGTGGCCTGAATAAGTGGGAATGGGAGATTACTCTCTTGGATGGATTTTGTATTCTAATTAAGTTATTTATTAACTTTTTTGGACATTTATTCCACTGAAATGTTGTGTAATAAAATTAAATAAGAGGTGTGGCTTGGTTTTCAAAGATAAACCTCTCTGATATCAATAATTTAAAGGGTTCCACCTAAATGACAGAACAGCCATCCAACATAAGATGCTGCAAAATTGCTTAAAATATGAAAAAGCAGATCTATACAAATGGTGAAAAACTTGGAAATGAAACATATCCCCATCCCACCACCACTCACTGCATTCCCTTGGATCGCGGTTGTTGCGGATGAGGACTTTCTGGCTAGACGTCCTGAAGAGTGACGTCCAGTTGACGGTGTTGTAGAAACACAGGAGGCTGTTGTTGAAGATGTAGACGTTGCCGGCGCTGATCTCGTCCAACGACTGGAACTGCAGGGACGAGATCCAACGCTGCTTCAGGATCAACAGAGAAATACCGCTTCCACTGCAGGAGAAGAGAGAGAGGGGGAAAAGAGAAAGTGATAAATCAAGGGAAAAAAGAAATGGGTGGAGATAGAGGTAGAGAGGGGAGAGAGAAGGGAGGAATTAAGGATTTAAGAGAAACAGTCAGGAACAGAGATAGGTAGAGGGTGAGACAGGTTTAAAAAAGATGATGGAGAGGTATAGAAAGTAGATGAGGGGGTAGAAGGAGAAAAGGGTGAAAGATCATGAGGTAAAGAGATGAGAAACATAGAAAAATAGGATATAGTAGTGTGGGTGGGAAAAATTAGGAAAGATGAAGGAAGAACAGAAGGAGACCAAGAGGAGGCGGAAGCAGACAAAGAGTGTTGATGGGATAATAGAAAAGGAGAGAGAAAAGAAATACAGCAGAGGTGAAGAAGATGAGGCGGATGATTAAGGATGTCGCTCCAGCGCTAAATGAAAGAGCGCTGTGCTACATGTTCATCGCTGGCGCTTAGAAAAACTAGGTGTCCTGTGACACCGGCAGCACTTTCGCTCGCATCTGCCACTTTTTAGCCGACAAAGAACCTGTTATCACAACGGGGCTCATCAAAGCTGCGTGACAGTAAAGGGGCCTCTGTGCAGAGCGACACGGGCCGGCAGCTCATTAGCTCCCACGGTTAGCATCCACGCACAGGAAAACGACAGGAAAGAGCAAAGAGACAAGGATCTTTCTGAACAAAGAAAGCTCGCCATATGAGCGTGTCATCTGCATATAGAAGAGAACGGAAGGGACGTAACCATTACTTTTCTGGCATTCATGAGCAGTAAGTGGTACTACTGTTCAGTAATCAAAGTCATTACCTGCTTCTGGTACCTACGTGCACACCACGGAAGAAGAATACCTACAAGGTTAGCCCGAAAACTGAATCCCGTACAATTGTTATCCTCGCGCACGTATGCTGAGAGTAAAGCTGAGGTTTATTTTTGGAGCCACTCAGGAAAGTCAGAATTTGTGTCTATAAAAACACACGTACCTGTAGAGAGATCTGCCTCCGATTGTTGCCAGGCTGGAAAAAACACTCAGATCTGTCATGTTCTCAGGCCAGGACTGGATGTTGAGGTAACCTAAAAGCACATCAAGAGGAAGATGAAGATTGTGCTAATTAACAAAACTTATAGTAAGTACCCTTTTTTTTTCTTTTAACAGCGCTTGGATAATTACCAAAATGATATTATGTCTGGTCTATTTTCTCTGTCAGAAATGGTGAAAAAGATAAAGAGGAAAAGGGAAAAGGAGGAGTCTAGGGAGTATTTGATGAAGGGAGAATCATGAGCCATGAATAAAAAGAATCCTTTTGTTGCCTACATCTAAATTCAAGGGGAAAAAAAAGAAAAGTACTGTAATTTTTGGTCACGGAGTTGCACCACATCTGTGAAGTTCAAGCAAGAGCCCATTTGTAGTGCTCGGAGAATAATATATGCTAATTAAAAGAATGGGATTTAATATTCTGCACAGTTTGTCCGGTTGCACTTGCCTTTAATGACAGATTATATCAAATCAGCGTCTGTGGAAATGACATTAAAGGGATAGGGCAGGAAATGGTTGGGATTGAATGGCCATTGCTCTTTCTTATTGCTTGGGTTTTCATTATGAAAATGCAGTTTCACTCCATTAGATGTTTGGCTCAACTGCAAGTCGCAGTTTAATATGACAAAGGGGTTTGTATACGAGGTACTGCTCATCCCTTAAGGCCTCTAATAGCTAATGAATAAATGCACACACAAGCATGTGTACACACACACACACATACATGTACATAGTGTAAGCACTTATAACTACCAGACATATGCACACACAAAGAAATAATATCCACCAGACCACCAAAAATCCACTTTCCACTTTCCTCTTAAAGCTTTCTTTTCTGACCTCAGAGGCCAAATAATTCACTCACAGACACACACACACTCATCACATAATAATACTGTAGAGTTCAGTCAGGTATTCTTAGATGAGTCCAGTGATGCAGTCTCACCTGTGATTTCTTTCACAGTGCGGAACACGTTGAGGCGATCAGGGTCCATAGGTCCAATACCATGATACATATCCCTAAAGTACACAAAGAAAAGTGAATACTATCTCTCTAATTATAGTACATAGACATAAAACATTTTTTTTTTCCTCTTTCTTTTCCTCTAGTGTGAAATTGATGATTACACATCATTCTAACCTCAGAGCTTCAGGGCATGTTGACAGTGCTTTGTGACTGAATAGAGCACATTGACTTTCCGAAGCCAGATTTCCTCTGACACAATGAGATATTAATGGAGAACTCTTTGTTTACTTCCCCACATGACTTAGTTTCACGCTGCGGTTTTGATACAGTTAGTATGTCTTTGATTGAGTTGTGTGCATGCATCCCAGACTGAAATGTTTCATCCTAACAGCTCCAGTTCAGCTGGGCTGACGATGTCCAACACATGCATGCCCGTATCGATCTGCTGCAGAGTTACTGAATGTTGTATTTCAATAACTATCCTTTCAAATAGCAACGGCAACAAATTGACATGTGTGTGAGCTATCAAGCTGTCACTTACCCTTTAATGCCAGTAATGAGGAAGATGAGGTTGCCGTTGATTTTGGTGCAGTTGACAAATTTATCAATGTTGCTGGCGTCCACTGTCTGAGCCGTCTGCAGGCTGCCTGTTCCTATGCCGTCACACACTGACAAAACAAGAGCAAACACACACGATCGTAAGCTATTCGAAATAATGGACATTTTTGTTGCTTTCATTACTATATTCAAAGTGTCCTTGTGCAGCAGAGGCCTCATCTTGAGAAACAACGATTAGCTATTTGTCACTTTAATTCTTTATACTCTTTTATGAAAATATGCCCCTGCCTTTGGTGCATAGACAAGGCCGTGGCCCCTCTCCATGCACTGGAGTTCTTTTGATGAAAGCATGAACGAATCCACAGCCCATTCCGCCCCATAATGAATTCATTACATCTGCATTAATTACACTTGCGGTCTAGTGTGAGCCAAGTATTTCTGACAGAGGCGGAGGGGATGATGAATAAGGTTGGCATTAAGTGGTGTAACCAGTTTTTGATAGTGATTTATACCAGCCAATTCCATATCTGAAATGTTAATTTGTTATCATTTCCCATAGTTCCTCGGGCTATCCCTCATTAACCCCTCCCCGCTGCGTGACGATGTAATCAAGAGATTAGCCAATCAATGGATGCCACAGTCCATACGCAGAGCCTGAAGGAAAACACGAGCGTCTTCCCTCCAAAGAGAAAGGCCACATCAGTTACCTTTGTGAGAACAACATGATGAAGGAGCTAATCCTCATGCTGTTTCATTTCACATTAGACATTTTAGCTGATGCTCTTGTGCATAATGACTTGTAATTACAGAGCAGTTCCTCGTTGTGTGAATCAAACGTGACCTTCATAGACGCCGTATTTGTTGTGTCCTGTGGGATGTGATGAGGTACTCTGGACACGCACAGCAGTGATGCAAAAAGCAGAGATGAGAATGAGGATGTTCGGATGAATTAAAAGCAATGTTGATATTTTGGGGGGGGGGGTACATTAGAATCAATAAATCAGCTGCAAGTATATTTTGTGCAATATAAAGAAAGCTAAGCTGGCTCTGTTAAGAAATAAATTACATTTCCTATAAAGCTTTTAGAGTAATTCCTGTGGGCTACTGTTGATCCAGTATCATCACTGTTAGCATAAATCTATTAGATTAAAATGGTTTAACTGCATAAGCTCTTGTACATACAGTAAATGCAGTGCGGTGAGCCAGGAAGGGGGGGGGGGCAAGGGAATGGGTAAAGCATCTGTATAAAACCTGATTTTTATCTACTGCATATAACTTCCACATTATACACTGTTCTACTGGCCTCAGTATGTCCTGCACTGCACCTTCCTCTCAGTGGAATATGGAATCGCATGATTTATGAACACCATCTGACTGTGTGCCTCACAGGTTTTTCAAACTTTTAAAAAAGTGATGGGACTAATAAGATCTTTGAGGATGTCACCTTTCTATATGGAGAGCAACCCGGCTCCGTGCATGAAGAGGAGCAACAGAATATGTTGATAAGTGTGGATGAGCTGCAGCTGCAAAGTCTGTCAGCTTACAGAAATAATTCTCAAAGCAAGACTCTGACTGTAATCCCTTGGTTTACCTTTAGGACAGATGTCTGTACAGGGGATGCACATCTTGATGCGGTTCTCCTCCACTTCCATCTTGTTGCTGGGACAAGCTCTAACACAGGAGCTGTGGTCCACCACAAAGTTATCTGTGAAAACCCAGCGCAGATGTTAGTATTTGTTTCGCATTAACATGTAAAACCATAAAAATCTAAGCATTTCCTAGACGGAACCCCTTTAATGGTGAGAAATTGATTGTATTTTAATCACGCCTGTGTAATGATCAAAACTAATTGTCTAATTGGGCTGCATTGCTCAGGAAAAGTAATGAATCAAATTAGTACTCAGTAGCAGCAGTGGAAAAGTACGACTGGTGTACGCTCATTTGATGATCAGTGGAACTTGAACATGCAATCTGTTGATGTGGCTCGACTTTTAATGCACGCTTTGCTGAATTACTGCTGCACTCTGACTCCGGACCCGTGAAAGACAGAAGCGAGATTTGCTTCCTTTTCGGCTGCCAGAAGCTGAAACAGATGGTGTAGCAACTTGTTGATTGAGATGCACAATTTATTTATGTGTGAGTCATTTATCTTCACTTTAAATAATTGTCTGGAGTCTCATTTCAGGATAGATAGAGGATAAATGCTCCTTCAGTGGACACCGTTGCACAGGCTATAAAACTTAATTATGAACATCATTACGAGCATCTATGTTATTACAGTGTAATATTGCATCACCTGTATTTATTTGCAGCTGAGTGGTTGTGCATGCAGCAAGGCATTTTGTTCGCCTGCAACTTGAAGCGGACTTACGTGGGCACTTCTTGACGCAAAAGGCTCCATAGGTGTACTTGGCTCTGGGGTTGTGCTCCAACTGAAAAGACGTGGGGTTGTACACAAACGGCTGAGGGCACTGGGTCACACATGCGCCGCTGTCGTTGAAATTGGTGCACGCCTGCAGAAAAAACAACAAAAACACAAAACATAACCACAGTCAGCTGAGGGCAGAGGACACGAGTCAGACTCCACACAGAGGCGCTCGGTAGAAAACATAAGTCACTGTGAGTGAAGGAGTATTACGGCAGCATTTCATTTTTCGAACGGATCGCGGCGCGTGCATCATGCCGCTGTCCCTCGTCTCTTTGAACGCCAAATGGGAGAAAAATTGGAGCCATTGATCCTCAGCCATGATGTAAATGGTGAAATGTTTTCCCATAATCCTCTTAAGTGTTTTGCCGTCCGTGGCTACAGGCTGAAATGGCTGTGATTGAATTGGGTGAACCTTTCCTGTGAATTACAACTACAATATCCCCTCTGCTGGCGTGTGTGAGCCAGTTGTGCACAAGTTCGTGAAACAGGAAGAACTTGAGGTGATAAAAGGGACATTAATTGGACCACTGAATCACCAATTTGTTCCTTGAAGAGCGCCACTGCGGCAGCCTTTTACAGCCCTGTAAAACGACAAACAATTCATCAGCTGGTAAACAAAGTGGATCATATTCGGGCAGGGAGGATGATAAACAGATGTTGCATGAAAGACGTGGACACACAGAATGGAGGATGGTTATTAGAAATGTATGCCAGTCTTCGGACGTGTGGAAGGTGGAAATGAGAGAGAAAGGAAACAAAAGAGAAAAAGTGGAAGAGGGAGGAAAAGAAAGGGAGACAGAGTGTCTGTGTGTGTGTGTGTGTGTGTGTGTGTGTGTGTGTGTGTGTGTGTGTGTGTGTGTGTGTGTGTCTGTGTGTGTCTGTGTGTGTCTGTGTGTGTGCGCGCTTTGACGTACGAAGCAGTCCGTGTCCTTGGGGCCTGAGCAGCCGCCGGCACACTCGCGATGGCAGCAGTCACTGACGTAAGGCCCGAAGCATCGACCGTCACACTGCTCTGCACACACCGTCTTTGTCACTGCCCAGGAAGTGAAAAGAATGAATTTTAAAGGTCTGACATACACATACACACACACATTCACCCTCATAAAAGGAGACAATACCACCACCCTCAACCTTCCTCCTACGCCGTAGCTGCACACAAACATCGTCTGATGTGAAATTCAGGCAGAAACAAATTAGGGGCTTCGGCAGTCTAAAGGCCACACAAGTGGGCTTGTGACCACACGATCACCGCATTGAATGTCCACACTGACTTTACAAACACTGAGCACCGTCTCTTCTCTCAACAACTGCTCTTGGTGATGCCCTTGACACAGCCTCTTATCCACCAACTGCTCCATCTTCAGCTCAGTGACTGGCAGCTCTCAGGCGGGATGTCGCTGGAGGGAGCTAAAGTAGTTTCCCCCCTTGATAAATAAAGTTAGGAAATGTAAAAAAAAAAAAAAAAAAAGTTCCACAGCACCGGACGCCACTGACTCTCCATATCTGCATTTATACAAGGGGCGTTTTCAGCCAAGTGGACCGACTGGCCGAAGACAATTTCCAACTGTGCAGATAATTCCCGGAGAGCCCGGCTTTATTCGTTGCTATGCCAACTCTTGTGGTAACCAGGGGAACCATTTACCGCTTTTCCCGCATTTTGTAGTTAAACTACTTCAAAGGAAACTGTATTAGTCTGTGTTTCTTGTACAGTAGTAATACTTGGATGCGGCTCGTACCTATTGCATCAAAGTCGCTCTAATACTTGTGCTAAAGAAGAGCCTCCCACACATTACTGGGACAGTAGGAGATATATCAGCCAGCGAGTCAGCAGGAGCTTGAAGATGAGGCATTAAAAACTGCTGTGCTCACTATCTGCTGTGTTGGGAACATAATGATGCAGTAGAGAAAAACAACAAGGCGATGTAGTCTGTAAGTCTGTGTTAGCCTGAGAAAAACAGGCCAGTCCTTCGCTCAGTCTTTACAAGATGAGCAGAGCATCCAGTAATTACACGGACTAACATTTCTCGAGTTGCCCTCCTTCGTCTGTTGTCTTTCTGTTTCTGATTGTATTAACAATTGTGTTCTAAAGCTGGTGTCAGTGGCATTAGATAAATATTTGCTGTTATTCATTTCATGTCTTGTTTTCATGTTGTATTATGAGCTCCTATTATCACAGTTGCAGAAAATGCTGTCATACAATTAATAAACACCATTTCTTTTTTCACATGTATCCATTTATTTATTTTATTTTATTTCTAACTTCGCATCGATTTTGGTCTTTGAGTTCAATCTACTATGAAGAAAAAGCTAAAAACAGATGTGAACCCAAGTGCTCACACAGCCATGAAATAATAAATCTATGTCAAAACAGATTATAGCAGATTAGACGGTAGATTATTTCAACGCAGACTGTATTGTACTCTTTAACAAAATTTCATTAGCCTGGATTTCGATGATGAGCCTCACTTTAATCTAATCCTGTTTCAGAAGTTTCTCCACTCAGTGTCAGGTTAGGTTCATTGTTTGGAGGCTTAAAGAAGTAGAGTCACATTTATTCTGAGTGGGACTTCGAAAATACCAGGCTCACGTTTGTGTGTTCAAATGCAGGGCTTGAGTAGGGAGGCAGTTAGCCTAGTTTAGCATAAAGAATGAAGTCTGAGGGACGCCCATTAGTCACACTCATAAGGCATTCCAGGGTAACTGTAGGTGTGTGTGCATGTGTGTGTGTGTATACTCACAGGTTTGGCACTGGTCTTCCTGATGGCCCCAGCAGCGTCCATTACATGTGCGATGACATCGTTTGCCTGCAGAACACACACACGCAAGCACGCACGCACGCACACACACACACACACACACCGTGCATCAGGCAACTCCTCAGCGAACTTCAGATGTTCTGACACAAACACACATCGAAACACGGCCCCACCCCACACGCCAAATGCCTGATTGTCCACTCATGCACGCCCCTAAAACTTCCCCGACTAGTGACAGTGACAGATCTGTCGAATCTCCTCTGCTCATCCCACAATAGACCCAGAGTCATTGTGGCGACTTGTGGCCTGTAGAGAACATAAGCATGAAAGACAGGTCTCTACTCCCCTCCGTCAAGCACTCGCACAGGCAAAGTGGGACCTGACAGAGCACTCACAGCCTTCATCTGCCAGTGGCCCATCATCAAGACTTAATTGACTATGGGTTAATTACATAGTAAGTGGAACAGAGCAGCAGATTGTCACCCTGCCCCTTCAACCACTCCCACAGTGGGGCTGTTAATGTTAAATACTAACTACAGCTTGGCAAAGGGCCCCGATTTGGCAACCTCAACTCCCACGCACTCTCTTTGTCATTTTTGGCCAACCTCCTCTGTTCCTTGTTGCTTTTCATCCTCCTCCTCCATCAGTGGCATCTAATTGACAAAATAGCAACGTTTTACAGATATTCTACTTTGAAATGTCTTCTTCAACCTTTATCTGAGAGTAACCGGCTTTGCATGATGTCCAACTCCTCGCTGGTGTTGCGAGTCAACTCTGCAGATTTTGCTCTGCCCGGTCTGTACGCACAGAAAGATCATCATCTTTTCGTCAAAGAAACATTTCCTCCACTGTCTATGTCTTTGCAAGCTATTTGGCGCCTCGGCTGTCCCTATTGTTCACCCTGACATGTTCTGATACAGAGTGCCTGAAGAAACTGCTATGCCTTCCCTGTCTCTCCCTGAAAATGAGCAAGAAGCTTGTCCAAAAATGTGCAGAAAACTTTGAGAGACTCTGTCTTTAACAGCCAGCTCTTCTGACATAGAATGTCCGCCGGATAGTGACGCCTGTTATGTCCAAAGCAAAGGGATCTGAGGGACTGTGGGGACCACGAAAGAGGGTTGGTGGGGTGGGGGTGGGTTGGGGGCACCAGGAGACGTAGGCAGCTTCAAACCAGCTGTCGGATTCACTGAGATTTAAAAAGAGCACAGCAGGCAGCAGCTCCATCGGCCTCGCTGCCAAGCTGCTACCATACCACTACAATGGAAAGGTTCACGCGTTGATCTAACACCATGTGATTTCGCTTCCAAATGACCAGCAGGCAAACAGAATAAATAAAAAAGGTTAGGGCATGACTGCTGCTGCTGTGTGTGTGTGTGTGTGTGTGTGTGTGTGTGTGCGTGTGTGTTTTTTTGGTGCGCTTCTACGGTAAGTTCGCATGTGGCGAGTTACTGGATATCTAAAAGATTTTTTGTTTTTGATTATTATCCAAAGTTACTGGTCACACTGGTTTTCACCCGCGTGCAGTACTCACATCCGAGGTTGCTGTTGTTGGACGGCACCACCAGCAGCTCAGCCTGGGGGTTCTTGATAATGTCACGCCAATGGATGGTGTCCGCATGGCACAAGAATTTGTTCTGGTCGACATAAACACCCCCATTCAGTATCTCTGCACAGAAAGAAGAAAAACAAAAAGAGAGAAAGAGAGAAATGAGCACATAGCCATGGATATATAGTACATGTACATGATGGCAGAAAATCAATACTTCAAGGTTAACTCCCATCGTCCCTATGTCTCCAAGTACCGCGATGCATACTGTGTTCCCTGAAGTGCATCAAAGCATGACGATGAATGCCACTGACAAATGCACGCAGTAATTCAATACCATGTCTAAAGACAATGATGTTTCATACAGAGGTACCGCACAGAAAAATAAGTAAATTGATTTTACAATGTAAACAAACAGCTCTGCTCATGAGAAGAACTCAAAACTGTACGCCCGTAAAGTTTCCTAATTATGCATTGAGTATTAAATAATTTCATTTAGAGAATGAGAGAATTAACGAGTTTGAATGTCGCTGGAAGAGACCAGATTACTTGTTGCATTAATTAAAAGTGAAGTAGTAAACTGGAGCAGTGATAGAGCTTTACTCAAATCCTCATTGAGGGATACTGTTCATGAGCGGAGTAAATGAGGACTGGTGTCAAGCTTCTTTCTGAGGGCATCATGCTAAAGGTAGAGGGCAGAAAGATTTAAATCTTGCATTTCATTGGTTTCAGGTTGTGGAGTTAATAAAAAAAAGCAGTTAGGGACGTCTGCAATTTTTTATTGTTCCACTATTATCTTCAAGGGCTCTCTCCTTGCTCAAAACAGGCCTGAATCATCTGACTCAGAAAATAAGGGATCACAGCTCTCTTGACCTACTCCACTTCCCTCTACCAGAGTGAGAGCTGATGCACCGAAGACAAATCCGGGCTCCTAATCCAGCATTTGCTTTAATAGCAAAAATATGTTTCTTTTCAAGGACCAGTGCCCTTAACAGATGCCTGTGCATGGAGCATGATAACTAATTCTAATCTCTCTCCCTGTTATTTATCCAGGTTTTGGATATGGACACAGAATGAAATGATGCTGCAGTAATCCCTCCTCCCCCAAGCCGTGACCTAAGTCAGAAGAAAAACAACAGTCCCCATCAGTGTCTCTTTCTCTCTGGGACACCAGCTGAGTGTATTATTTAAGCGAGTTGAGGGATTTAGATACAATTCACCTTGCATCCCCTTCTCCTTGAATATGAAGTACCGCCGGATTCCATGAAAGTACTTGTCATAATAAATGAAATTTGATATAAAAAAAGTAACAATGTGGTTCAGATTAGGGCTGGATTAGCTGGAGGTAAAGAAGGGTATTATCTCCCTAGGCAGATTATTAACAGTGTATGAGTTATGCGGACGATTCAGCAGGCGAGGAGCACACGCAGGAAGCTAATCATTACCATCCGACACCCTGATTAAGGAAGTGGGCCTTGGGAGCGACGGGGACATTTATTCAAAGCCCTCTTAGAGGTGACATGGCCCTCCGTCTGCCCGCTGAATGGCCTACAGCCGCGGCTTCATGTAATCATGTTTCCGTCACAATGGGCGATTTATCAGGGGGTGTTTTACATTCATAGATGGTGGGTAAAAAGACAGGGGCAGGCTGTGCTTTATTCTAATAGCATGTGGGCCGCACTGTCAGCATGCTTTGATGCCATTTAAAAATACCCTTAGCCATCCATTACGCAACTGATATCCCAGATATGACAGATTTCTGACATTATATATAACAATACACTGAATAAGCATATAATTATCTCTCTTTAACCTACCAGAAATTATAACCTGGTTTCCCTCAAGTCACCTTGAAATGATACAAGACTCTGTTGTTGTGCCACTCCACTCCTCCTCACTCCGACTTACGCCAGTTTATACTGCGCACAATGCAAAACAGCAACGGCTCAGCTGGGTACACACAAGGTTTACACACCCACAGTCCCACAAAACCGCTGACTTACACAACTCGCTGTTGAGTGGCAAGTGCTCAGAGCAGGCATGTGGTTGGGACAGGATTCTTTTCAATGAGGCTGGACACTCGATGAAAAACAGGAGCTCTACTTTGCTGAATAATGAAGTTCCTTCACCTGAGTTCACTAGTTGGTCTTTAGTTGTAATTCTAAAACTGTAAAAATGTGGTGGTTTCTCAAGGAAGCCCTGCAAAGCCTTGACGTTTCTGAATAATGCTTTATTTTATAAGGTAATAAAGACTCAGCAGATGTTGTCTCTTTTACTTTGTAGCAGAAATCAAAGACGTATAAATGCTTTGGCTTTTTTTCTTTTTTTTTACATTTGAATAAAAGTAATATTGGTTCAGCATTGTTGAATGTATGCGGTCTAACAGCAGAACTGGGGCTGTGACAACTGGCTGTATTTGAGAGACACATACGAGCTATTGCAATCACCCAAAACACAAAAAAGCTGGATGCTGGCACAGATACACAGACAGTTTCTGTCTGCATTTTCCAGCACATGGTCATTAAACTGTAAAAAATGTAAACGCAGAGACTGAAGTAAGCAACCAGACACCACCAGAGCCAATGCTTTCCACGTTCACAGTGGTGCTTTGAGCTAAATGCTAATGACTGCATGCATCGTTATTTAGCATGTTAGCATTCTGCCATGTAGCTCATTAGCATTTAACACAAAGTACAGTTGAAGCTGATGGGAATGTCAGTAGCTTTGTAGGTATTTGCTCATAATTGTCAGGTATTTGACAAATTCAACTTTTGACCTCATCAACATAGTGATAATCTGATCCTACAGGGACCAGCCGAGTTGCAAGGCTAAAAATTGGTTACAAAAGTGTAGACAAGCAATAAATAACAGTATAATAATAATTCCCACATTTGAAACCTTTGGGGTATGTCATATATAATCAATTATGATTTTTTATGGAGAGCCGTCTTTCTGTTCAGTCCGCCCAGCACTGTCCCAAATGCTCTTTTAAGTGCCGGTGTCCAGATCCCCCCCGTGTTCGCCATGAGACAAATTGCCGCCTCTGCTGTCCATCCAGAGAAGGGCACTAACTCTTCTAGAGGGATGACAAGCCCCTGTCGGGTGGTCATTCATTAACGGGCGACAGTCCTGCGACACCGCCCACCCCTCCTCTTTCCCGCTCCTCTCGAGTACACCCCATCCCGCACATCCCCACACCTCAACGCTTCGATCTTTCCATCAGGATGGGAGATCTACAGTCGACCATCGCCTCTACACCCCCACCCACCCACCTCCACCGCCACCCAATCCCCTCACTCTCCACACTCCCGTGATTCACGAGGTAGTCATAAAACCTATTGTCCTGCATCAGAGGAAAGGGGTGGAGGAGCTGGAGGGGTGAGAGATGGAGAGGGCAGTAGGAGAAGGAGGGAATAGAGGTATGGGGAGAGAACATGAGGGAGAGAGAGAAGAGGTTAAAGCCCAGCCTAAGAAAATGTATTCTATTATTTAAAGTAATAAACCCCAGACATTTTATACAAATAGACTACACAGGTTTTACTGGTACTACTCGTAATATACTAGTGACTTGTTAATGGAAGCTTTTTCAGTTGCAGCTATAAAAATCATCATCCCACTGAGAAATACATGGCATACAGGAGTAGGGAAAACGTGAAGGACATGTAAATCTGAATAAATGTAATTCATGAAGTAAAAAGTAACGCTATCAAGACTATCAAGTCTTAGTCACAAGTCACAAGAGTCTTTTGTTTCTGATTATGTTATTTTGATGAAATCTAACTTGTTTGCTACTGGTTACCATGGTAATTTCCATCCACCTGTTTTCTTGCGCATTTTCAATTTGCAAATGAATAAATCTGAAACCTTGACTGAGCTGGAAAAGCTGATGAATGAGACCGTAACCTTCCACAAATTAATACATGAAACAAACGTAAATGTCATTTTATGTCACGTTTTCCACCGCTGTGTAAGAAACACACATCTTATTTTTGCTGAATTTCAAAAATTGATGCAACATTTGGATGGGCACTTGGCTACTTTAAATGGTCGCCGGGGGTTTCGTGCATTTTTTCTTTTTTGATTCAGTTTGGGAGCCAAAGGCTTAGAGGTTCAACAACTTGCATTTATCTCCGTGATATCCAACCCCTCAAACATTCATTCATTATTTTACAGTAAAAAGGAAGGACTGAGTAGTTGGTACTTTCATAAATTTTGCATTATAAAACTAGAATTCGGTTCACTTTTGGAAAGGCGGCTGGTGATAGCACGTAAGGCAGATGTGGAACATTCTGGAACATGGCTTTAACTGATTCTGCGAGCTTTGCAATAGCAGTTTTTGATGTTAATTGAATTCTGGTTGACTGGACAGAATTATTTGAGCTGAAGAGGAGCAATTTTGGAAGCCAGTTTAGTTACCACTGATCATATCATGTAGCTCACTGTGCCCGCACTGTAGAAGGACGCTTGGCTGAAAAATATGCTTTGATGAGACTTTGCAGCCTTTAAAATGGCCTGATAACACACACAAGAAAGCTCTCATCCTCCCTTTTGATAGTCTGTTTGTTGACCGAAGCAGTGAGTTTCGCCGGGCGCTTCGCTGGGTGACGCAGTTCCCAGCGACACCATATTATGTGTGTGTGTGGCTGATGAGGGATCTGCCGCCATATGCTCAGGCCATGTTTGGTTTAAAATCGTTTCTGGGGGAGCGTTTTGCTCCATCTCTCTTGGCAGTAAAACAAAGTCATGGAGAAAAAAATAAATAAAATCACACCGAGTGAAAGTTGAAGTGTCTTGTTGAATCAGACATTAGATTTGATATGGAGCTGTGCAGTGGGGCATGAGGCGATCACTGGAGGAGAAGATGATTGGGAGAATTTGATCATATAAAACTGAATAAACTGATGAATAAATAAATGGCTTTATTTAATGGCTCCACTTCCATGAAATGTATTTACTGTCTTTCTCTTAAAAATAAATTCCATATAAGTAAAATAAAAACAACTTCAATTAAATTGAAATTAACAAACTTACTTACAGAAAGCCCAGCTCCAGACTTCTCCCAACAACAAACGGCAACTTACATTTTAACTTCCCAGACTCATCTGAACTGGGTTGACACA